CAGTGAATCAAAAATGGACTAAAGATGGTACTGCCTTAACTCTTACCCAAGAGGGTAAAATATGACCATATGGACCAACAAGATTTCATCCACYGTGAGATTTCTTGCTTCTATCCTTTGAATGATATCCATCTTGACTCGACTGCCAAGATTTGTACAACACCAGTAGAACAGAGAATGAAAGAAAATCTTCAGTTCTTTCATCATTTCTCGTTCCTGTTCGATYTCACACGGTGTCACTAGCATCTCTGTAAGGTCTTTCTCTTTGGATTCGAACCGTTCAGGATTTATCACTTTTCCGGTCCTTAATTCCATGGTATGGCACGTTCTAGTGGATTGCTTACTATAGCAATCAAAGGGCATCTCGTTTTCTTATTATATCTTTTCTTATTATTATCAATCAATGACGTCACACCAACTTGACCGGTTCCGCKTGTWCTGCGGGCACGCACTGGTTTTAAAAGCATTGGGTGATTTGGATTTAGTACTTTCAATCAGCAATGGAACGATTAACTATCCTTAGAAAGTCGCCCTCAGATCAAGGTTACTTGAACGACTATGAAGTTCTTGAAACGGGAGAAAGGTTTTCAAGCTTCTCACCTGATATTGCCATGGCCTTTACTGATGATATCAAAGACCAAGAATTGAACTCTTTAGTTTCAGCTTGGCTGGGGGATCAAGAACCGTCACTGACTTTGGAGATTCCCGAGTTTGRTGAAACCGTCCCAGAAATCAAACCTGAAATCACACCGAGTCAAGAGAAGAGTGATAAAATATTGCTCAGGGGMTTTGCACCATCAAAATCCCTTCTGTGGGCGCTTTTTTATGTTAACCGAGAACACTGCGAAGCCTGTGAAATATCYGATCCATCTCAAGTCMAYCACRACTGCATGGATACCCTCGTTTGGCAATTTACTTCAGAAGCCCTGGAAAGAGTTGATGAGGATGAAGCGATGAAACTGTTCATGAATATCACAATTCAAGAACTGGTTCCTCCTTTAAACGGTCTTGATCTTTTACGCTATCAGTGTAAAGACAGTAGACAGAAAATCTTTAGCAGAAGGTAAAATGAGCTGGAAGAACTAGTCCTTGAAACTTACAAGAAATCGTTGTCGGTTGTCTAAATATTCGTTTTTTAATTAAGGAATAAAATCAGTTTTGGTTTGAAAGTTGTTGTTATTTTTTGTGTCTGCTGGGAGGGTTTTCGCATTTATAGCGCTGGTTTTATGACATTTCAGGGTCACTTTTATGCTTGACTTTCATGATGGTAGACGTGATGATAGTGATGATTACAGAATGCGGATTGATAATAACGATGATTACACGTATTATATTTCGTGCTTTTGCGCCATTGGGCACACCGTGATCAGCCCARTCTCACACTTCTCGATGCTTGCCATGCCGATGTCCGTGATTCCCTGAAAATCGACGTCGAACTGAAGCGTTTTGAAAGTGGAGCAGGTGTAGTGGAACTGGACCTTCATACGCGGAAAGGATCAACATACAGCATAACCGCCAAATCCAGAAAKCCAAGCGACTTGGCAAAGAAATGCTGACTAATGAAGTGGAGGGGATGAGAATCTCTCCAAACTCGAAGCACAGACCACCTCCTAAAAAACAAAGAAAGCCGTCCAAAAAATCAAGTGGCCCTTCATCTCAGCCCAACAATTTGACGTACCACAACCAAACTTAATGTACAGCTCCCCTTCAAATGGACC